GTACGTCGTCGCTTCTCTTGGTGGCGGTTGGTGGCTTCATCAAAGGAGGCGGAATCGGATGAAATGATTCGGGATACAGAGGATGGGTTGATTGACTGATTATAGGTGGTTTCAAACCAGATTTTCAGTGCGATATTTGATAGATGTGGCTTGAGTTGATGCTGGGCTCGGAGGGCAGCCTTTTGGCTGTTTAAAATAGGTTGACGGGTTTGCTTTGGCATTGCAGAAGGGAGGGACGAAGTCAAAATAGCCTATTTTGGTTACTCCTATATTAGCAATTTTGTATTGGAGGAGGGGAGAATTTAAGCAACTTGCTAGTAATGGAGTATTAAGCAATTTTATATGGAGTTGTAATTTGGACAGCGTGGCCAGTTGCTTATAATGGAGTATTGCTTATATCGGAGTTGCTTATAACGGGGTTTTACAGTACTCTACTCTGTAGTGGAGGAGGACGGCAGAACAATTGCGTGGTTGACTGCAGAGTGGTGCAATTGTGGGGACTCGCGTCAAGCGTTTGAGTTTATTGGATGTGACAGCGGCAGAACCTGTCTGTATTTTTTTGTTCCTTCATGACGTAGGATAGGAGAATCCTCGATAAGAAGTCGTATCGCCGTCGAAGAGTCAGGGGGGGGGGGGGGTTTCATTTGCAGAAAGTGCTCTCGTGTCCATTGTCCAATCTCGCAAGGACCAAGCTCTCGATAGTTTGGAACTAAAAATCAGACACTGTTACAGTGGACGTTGCATGACCGATGTTTCACCGGGCTGGATAGGACTCCTTAAAAAAGGGGGACTATTGTTCATTTCCGGTGCACTCTACTACTATGGATGTACCTAGGTTGATGTCATGACTTACTTGTACTACAGTACAGAGTACAGGACCGTGGTTGTAGTAGTACCCCCCGTAGGCATACACGCCCAGCAGGCAGAAAGATAGAGTGATAACCCTGCATGTCAAAATCTTATTCCTCAAGAAAAAGGTACGAGACCGCCTTCCCCTTTCAGACCGGACAGTCCGGCCTTGGCGCGGGGCGCGGTTGGTCTTGGCATTGGCCTTACGGAGGATGGCCGAAAGAGGAATGTCGTGGTCCAGTTCATTGCGTGAAGGTGTAGAGAGTGTGTAGAGAGTGTGTAGAGTAATAGTAGTGTAGAGGACTGAGTAGAGAGACAGACAGACAGAGAGAGAGAGAGAGCATGTACTCCGTACCAAATACTCCGGGGAATACCCCAACTCTGGAATGATTATTAAGAACTATTTTAATCGCGCTAAGCCCCATCGGGTCCAGGGTCTCGTGTGGACCGGGAGGCTCTCTTGGTTCTCTTTCTGGCTCTCTGTCAGGCTTTCTTCTCTTCTCTCTCCTCTCCTCTTCCCCTTCTCTCTGTTACCACTGCTCTTATCGACTATAGCATCAGTCCTTCTCTTCTCTTTCTATTTTATTATATTCTTCCACCGTTCTTCTTCCCCTCCTTCCCCCTATATCCTTCCCGACCGTTCCATGGGTCTCGTTCACTGAACGAAAAAGGAGTCCTCGTGTCGCGTGCTCTCCTGCCGTGGCGGATTCATTCTTTTCTATACTCTGTACTACTATCAACTTATCTCTTTAATTGCATTCACCATGCAATATCATCGAATCGCCCAAGCCGGGCTGGACGGCGCCAAACTCGTCGCCAAATACCCCGGTACCTATCTCGATGCTGCCTGGAGTGCTGTGCGCAAGTTTTGCTTTGCCGTCATCTTTCTCGCTCTGATTTCCGCCAAAATGACCCATATTTACGCTCATATTACCTCCCTGTCGGTTTCTGTGTTGCTCGTTTGGGGTATCACCTTTTTCCTCCAGGATATCGTCATCATCTTCCTCGCGAGGGGGTTGACGGCCGAGTTTGAATGGAAGACCGTTCGCATTGCTGCTGCTGTTGTCACCGTTTTTTGCACGTAAGTCGAGCCTTGGAATTGGTCGTCGGACAAAGCACAGAGTACTAATTAAAGTCGTCTAGACTCGTCATCTCTGGAATGGCCTCGGCCAACATCTCCTTCTACTTCACCACCGGTGCCGAGATCCACTGGCACCAGGCCCACAACGTCGGAAGCGACGCTGCTGCCATTCGCACCCTCTTGTCCGGTTTGACCGGTTTCCTCATCGTCGAGATTCTCATCATCGTCGGTGCCTATTTCTCCTGCAACCTCCTCTACAACGCCACCGGCGCTGTTCTGCACATCCTCGGTTCCTCGCTGAAGCTGGTCGTCTGCTGCTGGCGCCGTAAGCGCCCCGATCCCGCCGCTTTCGAACGTATCGAGTGTCAGGATTATCGCGATGATCAAAACAACGGCGAGGAGGTGGTGGACGACGATAAGAGTGAGGATTTCCTCCTGGACGGACACGTGGACACCTCCGAGAAGACCGCCGTTTCGCTGCTCAAGCGACTCTTGGTTCTCCTGCCCATGACCATCCTCTTCGTTCTGCGCTGCGTTCGTCCTCCCGACCCGGCCTTCTTTTTCCTGTCGTGGTCCATTCCTCTGGCCCCCTTGGTTGACGGTCGGCCCCATCGCGGTCCGCCCGTCGAAGTCAGCGGATTGAAGGGTTCTTATGGCTGGCTCACAAACCAGACTGCTTTGACACCCCCGGTCACCCTGGATTGGTTACCCAATGACCGTGTCATGCCGGGATTCACGGATTGGGCCCCCAGTTCGCTTTCCAACGCCACCGAGCCGCCGTTGCACTACAACCCCACCGAGGATCCCATCCACATCTCCAACCTGCACCACGACGTCCTCGAACCGTTGCGGGAGTCCTTGCGCAGTGGCGAGGTCAACATCAAGCACATCATCTTCATCAAGCTCGAAAGCACCCGCGCCGACGTCTTCCCTCTGCGGGAGGACGGTTACATCTGGGAACGCATTCTCGAATCGTACGGTGGTGAAATCCCCGACGCGGCCAAGGAACGCTTGTTGAATGTGGGCCGCAATGCCGAACGCCTGACCGGTTTCCCTGCCGCCCTTTCCAAGAAAGATGGTCCACCCAAGCCGTATGGTGGTATCAGCGCCCGTGACGCCTATACCGCCGGCACCTATACCCTCAAGAGTGTGGTCGGCAGTCTCTGCGGTGTGACTCCTTTGGTCGCCGATTTCAACCGCGAGTACCAGCAACACATCTACCAGCCCTGTCTGGCCCAGGTCTTCGACGCGCTCAACACCCAAAACAACGACACCGTTCCCGATGACTATACCACCTGGCCCTGGCATTCCAAGTGGATGCAGTCCGTCACCGAAACGTACGACCACCAGGATGATCTGACCCCCAAGATGGGATACCACAACATCACCGACAAGGAATCGCTCAACCTGACGGGCGTCGAAGAGGTCAACTATTATGGTTATGCGGATACTGTCCTGCGTGACCATGTCCGAGAAGCTCTTGACGACGCTGAGCAAAATCATCGCCGCCTGTTCCTGACGCACTTGACTGGAACTACCCACCACCCGTGGGGTATGCCAGGTGGCAAGTATGAGAGCCTTCTCGGTTCGAATTGGAACAACGACAACATGAACCGGTATCTCAACACCATCGGTTATGTTGATGGTTGGTTGGGAGAGATTATAGATATTCTGCAGGAGAAGGGAGTTGCCGATGAGACTCTGTTGGTCATGGCTGGTGATCAGTAAGTTTTTTTTTTTTTTTTTTTTTTTTTTGCAGACTCAAGAGATATGCAGTAACTAACCATCTCCAGCGGTCTGTCATTGCCATATGACAATGGGATCACGCCCTATGACAATCCTCGCGTCGGAAACTTCCATGTTCCCCTTGTTCTCGCGCACCCGAAACTGCCCGCCGTCCCCATCGAATCCCCGGTCGTTAACAGTCAGATCGCCCCGACCGTGCTCGACCTGCTGATCGAATCTGCTTCGCTCGGAGATGATGCTCGTCACGCCGCCGCTGATGTTCGAGCCCTGTACGAAGGTCAGTCCATGATTCGACCTCTGACTCGCGAAGAGAAGGGCAAGCAGGATTGGCAGTTTAGTGTCATGAACACTGGTGGTTCGTGGCTTTCTCTCCGGTCCGCAGATCAGCCCTACCGTCTGGTGATCCCCTTGATCAACGATGTCGAATGGCGATTCAGCAACATGGAAGTCAACCCTCACGAGGTCTCGCCGGTCATCAAGAGCTTCGACGTCGACCAATTGGCGATGGAAGTCGACCGGATTCACGGGCCTTTCGCCTTCAAATGGGTAGGCGAGGCTGCCCACGTCGCCCAGTGGTGGGTGTCTGAAAACTGGCGACGATACCGGTTCGACCCGGACCAACCGGATGAGCCTCACGAGTGAGGCTTCTTTGCTGCATCTTGATTATCTGCGTATTTATTTTAAAACCTTTTGTCCGATTGCATTGGTTTCGGAGTACATATTGTTGCGATTTGGTTTGGGAGCAGGCGTTTCATCTTGTTCATTGCATATATTCATCATTGTACAGCCTTATGATGCCATGGTCGTCCATGTATTTGAAGAGATAATCTTGCATCTGAATTCGATGGTCCCATGTGATTTGCATCGTTTTTGTTCGTTTTGCCGCGATTGGCTTTGTATGTCGGATCTTTTTGGACTTTTGACATCGATTGGTAACTGGCATAGATTAGCAATTGGATATTTGCACCGAGTTTGACATCGTACTGGCCTGAGTGTCGTTCTCCTGTACTTTGTATGAGTCGCCAGCTACTTGATGGGAAAAAGTGTCTAGTGTGTCTCCGGCGAATCCGCAGGACTCGTCAATCTGAGCTCATGTCTACTTGGTCCGAGCAAGGTATGACGCTCAACGACGGCAGCATGATATGCTCATTTCCTCGAATGGTTTACGGCAAATATGCCACCGGCTCGATGGCTCGTGTATTCTCCATGCTGGGGCTGGATAGACCAACATTTTATACGGCCCACAAGTACGAACCGAAGCCAGCCATGTCCGGGGATCTATTGAGTTGAAAGGTAATATACTAGGTGCAACGCACAATTGCCATTGAAGCTAGAATAAAACTGAAATGATATCATCCGTCTTGTCATAGTTACAACATCCAGTCTCCCAAGCCCATAGCATAATCCTATTCACCCTCAACCTGTCTCTTAGCACCGGCCCCCTCGTAGCCCTGGTCTTCTATGTCCAGGCTGACAGTATGGAATATTCCAATCAATTTGGCGAGATATCCTTCCCTTGCAAACATTGTCCCAAAAATGAATGAAAAGAGGCATATTGAGTACAAACGAATTCCATTTTCTCAAAAGTGTGGTCATACCACTAGACCAACAAGGTGCCGCAACAGATTCAATGAAGACCATCAGTCATTGACCTCGGAAAGCACAAGAGGAGAACCCTTCTTTGCACCAACAACTTTAATCTTCTTTGAAATGCGCTCTGCTTCCTCGACCTTTGACAGACACACAATATCATCTGCTGAATCTGTCTGGAGTCGAAACATGAGCAACGGCAGGACGGAATCTTTCCACAGTACCATATTCAATTTGCGGCTTGTGATTGAGGTGGCTATAAGTAGGAAAATCGAGAAAAGCACTGAAAGCGTCGGGAGAATGATCCAAGGCCACCTCACATGGATGTATGTTTCATCCCGAAAGGCCTCCCCTGGGATTGTGAAGGCTGTGGTGTCTGAACGGATAATGTCGGTCATGCTGGTAGTCATTGAATCCATCGCTTTATTGACGTCGTCCACGCCGCCAATGATGCTGGCAGTCATCCTGTTTAGACCGGGAGACCCAAGAGAACGGTAGTAGTTTAACAAATCATTCAGAGTCGTATCAAGTTTACCCCAGGTGTAAGCTTCGATGGAATAACTGGAATTCGGGGATAGCTGCTCCGTCTGGTTGGGTGGGACTAATGTGACCTGCGAAAGATTAGGGTCACTCGTATTGACATTCGGTTTCAGTTGTTGGTCCTTATAGAGCCGAAGGCGGTTATCGCTTCCCAGGTAAACATTATCCTTGTACTGCCTTTCACACGGATACACTGCACACATACTTATGCTTGGCATCTTCTCTGGCACGGTGTAATTGTCCCGTGTGTAGATATTGACTTCATCCGCGTATCTTGATGAAATGAAGGACACAAGCGGCTGCTGTATTCCAACAGCGGGGCTGTCTCCCCTTGATATGGCAAACCACTTGACACGCTTAGTGCTGAGGATTGGTGTATTATGTAGCCCCTGTTCCCACACGGAGTGGTTATAAATAACGTCTTGCGTTCTCGCAAGGAATTCATACCCATCTGGTAATGTGTATGTGCAATTATCTGGAGCTTTCAATATAACATCTGACCATCCCAACTTCTTTCCATACACTTGCATGAGTTGGGGATCAGGTTTACAGCTTTGGTTGGTTTGGCTGGTGATATCCTGGCATTGACTACAGAAGCCCAAGGTCACAAAGTCAGGATATTGGCAATTCCCTGATGTACACTGCGGCTCAAGAGGGGTATGTGTCTCCGCAAGCCCGTTCAGGATAGCAGCGTTCATCGAGGGAGTCAAGTCAGAGTCAGAGTTGATGTCCCACACTGCATTCATTGTCGAGCCATTTCCTGTGTTCCCATACGCATGCGCAGACTGGACAAACGCTGTCTCATTGTGAGCCAGTACACTCCGTGAGGGGAAAGCCAGAATTTGCTGCGCAAATGGATCAATGGCCAGGGACAGTATCATAAGCAGTGCGCCAATAGTTGCTAGCCCTGGTGTTATCCTCCAAAGTATCTGAAAAGAACCCCAGGGCCCACGGCTGGCCTGATCATAAAGCTGCATATGATAAAGCAGTGTTGGTGATTGGTATCGGTTCCATTTCAACTGGCTAAGGCAAGATGGAACCAAGACGAGCATTGTTGCTTTTGCAGCAGTGACGATGATTGATATGATTGCATTGGGGGAAACGCTGTATCTCCAGGTGGCATATGGCCTACCATGAATGTATACCAGGAAGCCGATCAACAGAGCAATGCAGACGATACTGAATACAGCAGCTAAAATCTCCGGTAGCCATGAGTCTGTCAAGAGTGGTCTTCTCTCCTTGGGTGCATCACGTGACTCTGGCTCTTCGAGCTGCGATTCCGATTTGGAGGGTTTTGAGGATTTGTCAAGCGCAAAGATTTTGTGTATTGCTTGCTTTGCCATTGGAGAAGAATATCACCTGTACGGGTGTATACCGATGATAGCAGAAGTTGAGTGTAACCATAAAAAGACTCGAGAACATGGATATCAACGTCTAATCTCCAGTATTTATGTTTTCTCTCCCCTATTAAACCCCTCGCGATCGCTGTCCGTCTCGCGGATATTTCCTGACAGAAGCGGAAAGGATTTGCGACTTGCAATGCTTTGATTTTATTATTATTTTTAGTGGCACAAAAATGGTATGTGATCTACGTGAGCGCTTACTATGTAGGGAAGGAGAATGAAGTTGATGTCCGAGTCATTTCGATTTTGTACAGAGTATGTCGTTCAATAATAACATGCAGTCCTATACCGTGTTACTTGGAGTCATTTCTGGAATCCGATATGGGACTTACAAGTATCATGTAATCCCCTTTGGATTGACTAACCGCCCTGTTACACTTTTTTGGCTGTTGTCACGGGCTCGGAAACTAGCAGATAAAACGAATAATATTCATATCTAGACTAGGTAGCCTAACGACGAGAATATCGAATCTGGGGAAGAAGAAGAAGAAGAAGAAGCAAAGGAAATCTATCTAGGCGATGAACGGTCTTTGTAGGCATTTGTGTGGTGCGGCTCAAGCCCTTGTTTGCCCATATTGCTTGTATGGCATCGTTTGATATGTTGGCGCTGTTTGTCTGGCGTTGAGCCGTCACAGCTGTCATGTAGCGTACTTTGATACCCAGTTTGGCCGCTATAGATTGCCATAAAAGTCATGTGCCTTGACAGCCAACTGCGGGGTATCGCACGTCTTCTTCAAATTGTCTTAGACATCTGTCAACTCTGCTCTTTTTCTCATCTTCCAGGACGTCCTTCAGCATTCCAACAGCAGGCCTCATTGCGAGACGTTATCTTCGCTACGCGACATAGAGAGCCCGCGTCTATCAACAGCTCTACAGCCGTCGCCTACAATCGTCAAAATGGAGGTTTTTATGCGCAATCTTCCAATCGATTTGAATGAAGATGGGTTGAAGACTCAGCTCGAGCCATTTATGAATCGACTCAACATCGTTGACTTCATCTGTGAGAAACCAAAGAGAAAGAGCATTGGGAACGTGACGTTCCTGAGTAGGCGAGACGGTGAAAAATTTCTGGAAATACACGGACAGCGCAGTGCTGAGACTCCCTTTCGATCTTATGCACCTGCACCCGCCAAGTCCAATTTAAAACTGACTGGAGCTGATGTTTTCTGTACACTAAGCAAGCGTCAACCCCAAGAATTCACCATCAAAACACTTTCACACGCAGTGCAGGAGAGAGCGAATCCGCAGTATACAACTGAGGAAGACAGCTCGGCAGTGTTGTTTTTTTTGTCAGGTTTTAGCTGCGGGTACTACACGTTCATCAGCGAGCACCTTGGATACGTCCCAGAAGTTGAATGGAGTAACCGTGGGACAGTGAAGTTTACGAAGCGAAATGTCGTCGTCAACTTGGACAGTGGCCAGTTGATTAGAATCCCGCTCAACAGTATCGTAGAGCTTGTTTGGTTCAGTAATGGGTTGCTGACACTGACATTGTCCACCGTGCCGCTTTTCTTCGAAGCAACTAATGGGATCGATTCCGTCCTCTCCGCCATGCTGAGCCTCGCCCTTGATCAAGGAAATGTGCATTTCAATCGATCTCGGGAATCAACTCGCACTCGAATTTGTGCCCTAGGAAAGGAGCATGCCGAGTTGGCTGGGCAATGCCTCGTTTATCAATTTAATGTGTCCACTTCAGCTTTGGGACATAAAATCGAGGAACTCAAGCAGCGCGAAATTGTCGTCACACAGTACGATGTTACTATTCCGCGAGCCCTGTTATTCAACACAGTAGGATTCACACATCAAATGGGATCCCTGAAAGTGGAACTCGCGAAGTATACTATGGACCGATCTGTTCCATTTGAGCTGTTATTCCATGTACAGGCCCTGGCCTACAATGCCTACCTTCTTCCATCCACAGCTCTGGAATTGGCCAGGCAGCTGTGGCATGAGACTACTGTGAGAAGGAGCAAGGGGCTGTCGCCTGTGTCTGCTGATGCAATGAAGAAAATATTTGACACGATCGACTGGCCTTCGCCATACGGAGACCCGGCAGAGTTCGAAGTGAGCTACCTCCTTCAAGCGATCAAACAAAATGACGAAGAAGTCAAGCAGGGATTATTTTACGGAGACCGTGCTTTCAGCCCAAGCCAGAATGTCGCTCGAATTTGTCGGGTGGCAGTGACCCCATCTCGCATTACCTTGCATGGCCCAGAGATGGAGCCCAACAACCGCATTTTAAGGAAGTTTCCCAACCATCACGAATACTTTATTCGGGTGCAATTCTGTGACGAAAATGGGCAGGACCTCCATTTTAGTCCTCAAGTCAACAATGCCAATATCTTCGCTCGGCACAAAAATGTCTTGAAACGTGGGATCGAAATCGCGGGACGAACTTACACATTCTTGGGCTTTTCACACTCGTCTCTGAGGGCTTATTCAGTCTGGGTATGTTGCTTTTCTACTCGCCACAGGTGCCTCAAGCTGACTGCATCGTTATGGCTAGTTCTCCGCTCCATTCTTTGACGACAATGGTGACTTGCAGACATACTTTACAATCATTAAAGCCCTTGGTAACTTCTCCGGAATAACGTCGCCTGCACGATGCGCTGCAAGGATTGGTCAGGCATTCTCTGAAACCCCTTTCGATGTTGACATAGAGAAGAACAAGATGGTAGTTCGTCACATACCAGATGTCAAGTCCCCAGATGGTGCACGTGTTTTCAGCGATGGCGTCGGAGCCGTTTCTCAGAATGTCGTCGAGACCATCTGGGACAATATTCCACTTTCGAAAGGCTTTCCGACATGCTTTCAGATTCGTTTGGGGGGCGCCAAAGGGATGCTCGCTGTTGACAGTCGACTTGACGGCTCGGTTATTGCACTTCGCCCGTCAATGATCAAATTTGCCAGCGAGGATTTGCAAACACTGGAAATATGCGATGTTGGATCACAGCCAATTCCTTTGGTTCTCAACCGCCAAATGATCAAGATTATGGAGGACATGGGTGTCTCGGAGGATTGGTTTTTTAAATTACAGAACATCCAAGTGTCCCTTCTCCGAGGAGTCACCGCCAGCATCCAGAGCACGGCGAAATATTTGAAAGGACAGAATATAAGCCGGTCACTGCGCCTCCATAAACTATTTCGACACTTTGGTGCTCTTGGTATTGACTACACAAATGACCGGTTTCTTCGTTCCGTTGTGGAGGCCCTTGTTCTTCGCGAACTTCGCTTGCTCAAGCACAAGGCTCGAATTCCCGTCCAAAAAGGCGTCACACTCTTTGGCATCATGGATGAGACAGGTTTTCTACAAGAGAACGAAGTTTTTGTCACATATGAAACGACCAAGGCCCAGTTCGCACCTCCACCTGGGCCAGGTCCACTTGTCGTCACTCGATCGCCCGCTCTATTCAATGGCGATATTCAAATTGCCCACAATATCGTTCCGCCTCACGATCATCCCCTGGTGCAACATCGGAATTGCATTGTTTTCAGCCAGAGGGGCTCACGAGACCTGCCAAGTCAATTGAGTGGTGGCGACCTCGATGGCGATATCTTTAACATTATTTGGGATCCCGAAGGCGCTCCAGCCGTGACATATCCGCCAGCTGACTACCCTCGTGTGTCGCCAGTTGATATCGGTCGCGTCGTCACCAAAGATGATATGGCAGACTTCTTTATCAACTTCATGGAGACCGACCGTCTAGGGGTGATTGCCACCAGACATTTGATTATGGCGGACCAGTTGACGGAGGGATCTTGTCATCCAGAGTGCAAATTGTTGGCACAGCTGCATTCAATGGCTGTTGATTTCTCCAAGACAGGGATCCCAGTGAAGATGGAAGATCTGCCGAGGATGACATCCCGATATCGCCCGGATTTGTAAGTCTGTTTTCAATCTTTTGATACCAAGTCGGATTTTGCTAAAAAAAAAAAAAATAATTGATATGACAGTTTGGCGCCAGGGCCGCAGGTCCACATTCATGATAAATCTGATATTCACCTTGACACCCATATTCTCCAGACTAGTCAAAATGAGGACGAGGGCCTAGGCCCGTCTCAAAAATACTACAGATCCGAAAAGATCCTTGGGAAATTGTACAGAGCCATAGACGAGCGACGAATCTGGTCTGAGAATGTGAAGCTGAGCAGTGAAATTCCATTCTGGGGTGAATTCATGGATGCTATGATACAGAGGTGTTCCGTCTTTGGTCCAATACCTTGGATCTATCGCATCGACGAAGCACGACTCATACGAAAAGCGTAAATAACCCAAGACCCTTTCTTGCCGAGCTACTAAACTTATTTTATAACAGATATGAGAATGCCATTCTTTCCGCGATGAATGACTTTTCAGAACACCCCATCAATCCCATCAGCGAGCTCGAGGTCTTCATCGGTCACATTCTCAACAAAACTGGCGTACAGACTCACCGACAGCGAGCGCGATCCATCAAACTGTCAGATGAATTTGATCGGATCGTGACATGGGTCATGAGTCAAATGCGTCCTTACGGCAATCAGCCAATTCCCTTGACCGGCTATGAGACCGAATATGACGCGTTGGCATTATGTCTCGCCTGTGTTTATATTGCGGGTGAAAAGGACGAGTCAGCAAGGATACGACGCCGCAAAGATTGGTACGGAGGACTGCAAAGTTTCCGGGTTGTTTCTGCTTGTGCGTTGCTCGCAGAGCTCGAGTTATTTGAGAAGAATTAAAGTGGCAGAGGGTCGATGTTGTTTCTACGCGATGTATAGGAATATTCATGTCCGGATAGTTGTATTGTTCGGACGTATCATAGACGAACAGGCAAAGTGAAGGCTATAAGCGTACTGTTCAACTGAATGAGAAACATAACGAGCTACAACAAAGATTTGCCAATCTTCTTGACAATATACCTTTTTCGGGGAAACCTCACTAGAGCTGAGCCCTAGTTGCTCACCTCTCTTACAAAAGCCAAGTTTTGAATCGCAGCCAGCCCATATTGAGCAACGGCGTTTGTAGATATCCATGTAGCCTCCTCGACAGGAATAATCACGGCGCTCCCGTTTACTCTCACTGTAGCCCATGGATCATCCTCTGTCAGACCGTCAGAGCCATCGTTATCACCGTAGAATTCGTCCCATGCGCGCTGTCCCACAGTCCCATTGTCGTTGTCTTGCTGCGCGTAATACGCTGTCAACCGTGAGTGGCCTTGTACCAATGTGGTCTTGGTGAACGCCTCCCCATAGCGCGCTTTTTGTTCGTCGGCCGTTGCACCGTAATAATAGCAATAATCCAGCCAGGCGCTTCGTAGACCTTGAGGAGCATCACCGCCCCAATACTCGAGCAACTCTGAAAGTACCTCCGGCAAGCCAAACACCGCATTCAAGTGGGAGATGGACACGATACCCGTGTTGTTCGGATCAGTTGGCGGGGGAAGCAACGTGCCATTGGTAATAGCGTATAAGCCCGACCCTGTGACGAAGCCATTCGTCAGATTTGCGATTCCCCCCGCGGTACCGGTCAACTTTCTTTTCGCTTCCAACCACCGAGGCCCACGGCGCTCCCATTCAAGAAGCCAGCCAGCCGCAAGACCGGCCCAATCGGTGCCGAGAGATATGGCAGTAGGTTTATTGGGCTCGGGTGTCCAGCCATCGTCGCGGACTTTTCTCTGCGGGTCCAAGGTTCCGTATGTTTTATCGGTATCTAGAGCCTCGTCCAATAGCTCCCCGACTCGCTCATCACCCCCGGACAAATAGTAGAAGTACTTCCGGTACTGGGGCTGAGCTATACGAACCTGCTTCGCGCTGTCACCAAAATGCTGCACTCCGTGTCGGGTTCCTAGGCCTTTCCAGTCGCCGATATGGTAAACGTCTACTTCACCCGTGTGGCGTGTTAGCGCCTCTGCGAGCCGGTAGACATCCGCGCGGCCGCTCCGCAGGAAGTATTGCCAGAGGAAGAGGTCGGGGGACAGCTCCGAGTTGTCCCAGGCGTATCCGCCAATGTCGTATCGCCAGATGTGTCTGTCGTCGTCGTAGGTGTGCATGAAATCGCCGTAGTTCAGGAAGCCGTACCACCGACGATAGTCGACCTGCCCTTGGTAGAATTTTACCAGGAAGTCGAGGTGGCTCTCGAGTGCCGCGGACTTGCTGTTGTTGTTGTTGTTGTTGTTGTTGTTGTTGTTGTTGTTGTTGTTGTTGTTTCTATTTTCGGAGATATCAGGGACAGACCAGTATGATCCGATTGCCTTTGTCTCTCGGATGTACCGTGGTTCTGCTGCTAGAACGGGTGGTTCATTGGCATGCTTGCTTAGCTTTGCTAGCGTATCAGCGGAGGGAGTCTGATCGAACGCATATAGAAAGATCTCGCTAGTCCTTGCTATCCCGTATGGCGTGTTGAAACCGGGCTCGTAGTCTTCATAAGTAATCTCTAGTGCTTCCAGTTGCTTGGCGTATGTGTCTTCTCCCGACTCATCGTGGTACGCTCTGAGATCTAGCGGAGCGGCTTCAGGACTGTATAGCCAGATAGTGAGAGATCCTTGATCGGACGTGGCGCTCGAGACGTCGATGCTAGTGGGATGTCTCTTCCAGAAGTCGCGCAGGCCAACTGCTAGCCCACCTTTGGTGGCACCACCCAGATAAGTAAGCCCGTGAGAGCGCGTTCCACCGGGAATATCAATCCACCCCTGTCCGGGCTTTGTTCGTTTCTTGATAGTGAAACCGTCGGGGGATAATTGGCTCAGTTTGTAGTCGTTCCACGCGGGGATGTACTGGATGCGAGAAGAAACGCTCTCATCCCAAGTGCCCAGCTCAGGTGTCTCCTTTCCCTCAAATTGAGATAAACGGACTTCTTCGCCTGGATCGCGCCGCAGACCCGTGATACCTTGGACAGCTTCATGGAGAAAGCCCCCGTTGACTCCTGGTAGTCTGATATGGCGATTGTATAATTCTTCGCCGGCCAAGGGAACATGAAACTGGATTCCCAACCCACTGACAAAGTAATTGTCTGCTTTTCCGTCAAATACAATGCTGTGGACGATTCTGATAGAATCCGAGTTGGTGTATAGGTAAAAGCGCAAGGTGAATTGAAGCCAGTCGTCGTGGTCTCCTCCACTTGTGACCTTGTGCTTTCCTTTGACAGTGACCACCGCGCGGACAGATGTGTCGTTATTCACAGAAACCTGCTGTATATCGCTGTCAAAATTGAAATAATTGATGGAAGTGTTGGTCCGGGCCGCAACGTCCTCCGCGACTCCCGATTGGGAGTGGAGAACCAGTTTTCCATTCTCGCCGACGACCTTTCCACTCGAAGTCCTGATAGAGCCTATTATCGAGTTTCCTTGCTTAGGAAACGAGACTGTGATTTTACCAGTGTCGACACTGACTTCGTCCGCCGTATTGGCAACTTTCACGCCAGACGAAGTACTTGAGTTGGTTGAATGCTTGCTGTGTGCGAATGATGAAGCTCTGATGGTGTGCTCCGAGCTGACATTGTCAAGCGGTGGAATAGCATGCCCAGTCCATTTGATGGAGCCGTCACGCCAGTAACCGGTCACCCAAGACTGCAGTGGGATCTGTTCGCTTGTTTTTCCAACGATGCTGAACAGAGTGTCGTTGAATCTGTACTTCCCTTGGGGCCAAGGGAGTCCGAATGTCGTCCCTGAGGTATATTCGGGAGGTTCGCCAATCCAATGCACCCTAAAGGTATCAGAAGTGTGGTTCGTTGGTCTTGATAATACCTCATTGGCGAGGGACCCAAGGGTAAGCCAAAGAAGTGACTGTCGCATGGCCAAGTTCATCGATCAAGGAATTAGATGACTTGAAGCACACAGAATTAGGAGTCATTTCAACAGAGCGATACAATTCTCTAGTCCCTTTATATAGAGCAAATCTCATATTCCAACACATTCTGGAGAGGGGAAAGCCAGCTCCAGTCTGCTGTACAAGAGTACCAACGGCTATGGTATCATCATAGGCTAAGATGGGCGAGCTCAGTTCGCTTCGGGGAAATAGATGGCGAGAGCCACTAAAGCGAAAGTCCATATTAACAAGTCAGGTGTCACGCAAAGTCGGGGTCAAGTGGCATTATTGGTGGCCGTATCGGAGCAAGTAGAAACGGCTAATTCTCAACGACGAAGTCATCAGTCGGACGTTGCCGCTTTTCCGGTTAAATGGATATTAATATCTCGGACTCTATGGTAGTTGGGACGGATAATATTCCTATCTGAGCTAGGGAGAGCCTTAACAAGAACTGGAGAAACGAGGAATCTACCTGTGCGTGACTGCCCGATATGTCTTAAAATTCTCACATGTAGTATATACTATAGAAATGTTCTCAGATATTCCCCCAATGCCATAATAGCCATCGCCTGCCCATACGGCATAGCTGTGAGGGGAATTGCCTTGTAAAAATCAAGAGAGTCCCCCATTCCTGTTCCGAAGCTCGTATTCTGCAACTCCCCGTTTGCATCCACGGCCCCAAGTACAGCGCTGATTGCCTTCTCGCCCACGCCTCTATAAGCTGGCGGTAGGTACCTCTTTCGTACAGCCTTGAGAATCCCGTACGCAAACCCAGCGGTTGCAGATGCCTCGACGTACGAGTCAGGATGGTCGAGGAGCGTATGCCAGTACCCGGAGCCCCCCTGGAGGCGTCCAAGAGCCTCGCACTGCGCATATAGAGTATCAATCAGGTGTACGCGAAGTGGGTCCGTGGAAGGCAGGTCCAATAATTCGATAAACTCCGGAATGACCATAGTTACCCAGCAATTCCCGCGCGCCCAGCGAGCAGAGGCGAAATTATGCCCGCCATCTTCAAAGGTCCATCCGTGATAAAATAAACCAGTTCGTGTATCGAAAAGGTATTTGATATGCACAAGGAACTGCCGTTTCGCCTCGTCGATGTACTCCGGACGGTTCAGTAACTTTCCGATCTTGGCGAGAGGTAGAACCGTCATCATCAACGTATCATCCCACAACTGCTGATGGTTGTCGGTCAAGTAGGTCGCATGCTGAAAGCCACCATAGCGCGTGCGCGGGAGATCATGCATCGCCCAGTCGGCCCATGCCTCTAACCACGGACGGTACGTGATATTCCCTGTTTTCTCGTAGACGTACGCCAGGGTTAAGAAGACAGCCATCGTATTTATATTCTTGGTGGTACCACCCTCGGTAAACCGGGCAGAAAACCAGTCTTCAATGATTTGGATGTAGTTCTCGTCGCCAGTAAGTTCATGATACTTCCACAGGCCATAGAGGCCAATGCCGTGTGTCCATTCCCAACCTTGCCATGATTTAGTATCGATAACACGAGAGTCAGGCAGGTGCAAGAGAAATTCGCCGGTAGTATCATGGATATTGATGAGGTTCGCTATGAGGCGGTTAACGGTGGCGCGGATGTGGGTGGCTGGTTCCGACATGGTCGACATTGTACTTGATATATCCAGATAATAATTAAAGAATCTGTAGTTAGCTTCATAGCTAATGTTTACGACAGCTCATACATATATCCCCCGCTATGCTCAACGAAGACACAGAAGGCCTTCCCCGCATTCGGTGCAATTCGACCCCGAGGGTCCTTCCTGATTGGTTCAAGGGAAGGATTCCGGGGTGTCTTCTCCCACTGTGGGGATGTCAGACCTGAAATCCGGGGTAGTAGAACTATGCGGCTAATATATAGGGTACAATGCACACTGGCTAGGACACGAATCAGGTGGTAATGTGGTTCTTGGTTTTCCTGGTGCATAAAAGGACTCTTTCCCGTATGCGTTTACTCCCTTGTTCCTTCATTACCATCATCCCCTGATAGTGTAACTATCTCTCGTTGCGGATGCTGCATTACATTCCAATATGGACAAACAAGAAACCTCCCATATCGAACGAACACTATCCCCCAGAGACAAACTCTCGCAACTCGATGCCGTCAAGGACCCCTCCCGTGTTGATGAAGAAGTCCAAGCATACGCTTCCCAGGGCCATATTGAAATCGATGAATCCGCCAGTCGCCGGCTCCGTGTGATGATTGACCGCCGCGTGCTAGTTATCATGATAATCACATACTTCCTGCAAGCCCTGGACAAAGGCACCATGTCTTTTGCGTCTATTATGGGTATCCGCGAGGACACAGGCCTGGAGGGACAGCAATACTCCTGGCTGACAACGTGTATCTACATCGCCGTACTGGTTGTCGAGTACCCGACCAACTGGGTAATTCAGCGAGTGCCTCTAGCCAAGTATCTTGGGGCGAATGTGTGCATTTGGGGGGCAATATTAGCCTTACATGCGGCTTGCCATAACTTCACGGGCTTGGTTGCAGTCCGAACGTTGTTGGGAATCTTTGAGGCATGTTGCCAGCCTATCTTTGTGCTTTGCTCAGGCATGTGGTATAAACGTGAGGAACAGGCGGCCACGGTGACTTACTGGTACGCCCGGCGTATCCATCCTGCTCGCCGTATAGGGCTGACTCGTACAGGTACATGATGAACGGTGGGCAACAGATTGTCGGCGGCCTACTAGCCTATTGTTTCAGTCTCATCGGCAAAGATCGCGCCATCCGATCATGGCAAGCCCTATTCCTGACTTACGGCTGCATATCTTTCCTCTGGGGCATATTTGTTATCTACTGGATGCCTGACTCACCGATGCGCGCAAAATGTTTCTCTGAAAGCGACAAGCGACTCATGGTCGAGCGAGTCCGGTCGAACCAGACAGGCCTTCAGAACAAAACCTTCCGATCCTACCAGATGTGGGAGGCATTTCGCGACCCGCAAACTTGGTGTTACTGTGCCATTCAAGTGTTCACGACCCTGCCAACAAGTGGATTAGGAGCTTTCGCGAACATTGTGATCAAAGGGTTTGATTTCACTGAATTACAGACACAGCTGTTGGCTATGGTTTTGGGATTTTACATTATCATTGTCCTGCTGTCGTCGGCGTGGCTCGTCAAGAAGACTGGGCAGAATCTGCTGGTTATGTTGGGATTCATTATACCGTATGGCTTCCCGTTCAGATCTCAAGCGTGCTCGGACTAAAAGGAACAGATCATTTATCGGAACGATCGTCCTCATGACTGTTGACAACACCACAACAGCTACCAAAGCAGGACTCCTCATCAGCTACTATATCACCCTCTCCTTCTGGTCCGCGCAGACCCTCGCCCTCTCCATGATATCACGGAATATAGCCGGCGCTACAAAGAAGTCCACCGTTGTCGCGGCCACCTTTATCTCCTGGGCTGCTGGGAATGCAATTGGTAGTCCTCTCTCTTCATCTCGACACTTTTTCAGAACTAACGATGGCAGGCCCTCAAGTATTCCTGGAGAAGGACGCCCCAAAGTACTTCATTGCCTTCGGGGTACATTTAGGCTGCTACTCCATTATGACATTGTGCGTAGTCTTCCTTCGATTCTATCTGAAGAGACAGAATAAGAAGAAAGACGAAATCTTGCGAGCACAAGGAGTGGATAACGCGGATCCAGATCTAGTATATGCGTTTGAAGACAAGACGGATCGTGAAAATTTGAACTTTCGGTATATGTATTGATCGGATGTTGAAAAGGTTCCTCTAAACGATAGGGTTGATCATTATAGAAGGACAATGTAATAAGAATATAATTCCAGACTGAGTTGGGATATCGATGTGGCGGTTAGTCTTACCAAAGATGCTTCGAGGCAGTGAGAACTCTTTACTAGTACACGGCGTGAGACATAATTCTTTTAGCCAGGGAATAAAACAGCGGGTTATTTATCAACTTGATGCTTGTATTGTCTCCATCAAATTTGAGAACTGGTCGTCTGAAGGTGCGCAGAAGTCAAAGTTCAGATCAAATGGAATCTCAGATGAGTCAAAGTTCATTAATGGCTCATCTGGTTGGGGAAAATTCGTGTTTGCTGGCACAGTAGCTGAGCGTGCTGTCAATGACAGTATCTCCCGGGCAATGATACCAATCTCCCGGTAGGTCCGCTTTCCGAGGATCCAGTGCTCGCTAAGACGTTTCAATGTACCCATGGTCAGGCGGATCTTCTCACGGCTGGTGACCAACTTTTCGCCTTGAAGAATGTATCGACAGGCTGAGAGATGTGCGATGGTGACGTTGGCAATCATGCAGATCAGGAACGGGGAGTGAGCGTTGAGATTGGTTGGAAGCGTAAGGAGGTGGTCGAGATTCTCAACAGCTGATAGGCATTTGACTGTGTGCAGTTCTGATGCTGCCTTGTCAGAGCACTGTAGATGTTCGGACGGGGCTAATGGAGCGCATCGCGATACCGCTTCAATGGGACTATAGGCCAACGTGGACAGTGGGCGATGAATCTCAACGGTATACCTAGATGTTAATTCAGATTAGTGTATTGAGTGCAAGATAAGAGAGCCGTACGTATGCATGATGAACAGGGCTTTGAACATAACTTCGTCCACAGAACCGTCGCTGCAGATCAAACGCCGTTTCGAGGTAGGAAGAAGGGCGTGCCACGCTCTGACACTCGTGTCGGCATTTGCACACATCGATTTGTATAACTGTGCGTCTGCGGTGCTTCCGGGAAGCAAAGCGTGTTCAATTCCTCGCGTCAAGCCGATGAGTTCTGCATATGACGAGAATAGTAATTCATCATCAGCGAAAAATTCGCGGTTGTCGTAATCTTCAATACTTTTTGCCGGCGGTATATTCTGGTAAGGTCAGTCTAGTCAAGACACTACAGGCAGTATGAGTTTGTTACCCCAGAGTGATACTCTTGCTCCTCGCAAGGTAGATCAACCGTGATGTCAATATTGCTTGTCCGGAATGGAAAAGTATGGGTACTGCCGGCAATGTGTGCATCCGTAACATAGAACAACCACCAGGTGCGCCGCCAGCTTTCCTCAAGGACAGGACTGTTCTGTCCATGGAGCACGGCAAATTCCTTTCTGTTCATTCCAAGTCCCAAACCCAGCTGGATCGCTTCGTCGAGCAACGCGGTGCCGTGCTCGGCCTCGTTACACCAATATACGGCGATTGAGTAAAGGAGCATTGCTTGCACATCGAATCCAGTAACAGTACGGCTTCCCGTTCGAATCTCCATCAATGCAACCTCAACGTTTTTCTGCAATTCATCGGATATCGATTCTGAGAATAGCGAACCAATGTAGCAAATCACCGACGCAAGCAGACGAAGTGCGTCTTCTGTAAGATGCTTATCCAGATAGACACGAGGAATAATACACGGATGGGCTGCATGGAAGAACTCATAGTACAGATCCAAGAGAATTGGGTTGATGCTTTCGTTGCAACAGGTCGAAACAGTATCAGTAGCATTGGGGGCCGCCTGAAGAGCAGGTCGTATGGAGCTCTCACTGTCCATAACGGGCGAGGCCAATCGAGCCTGTCTTTCTCTTTGTTTTCCGCGACGCCGCGAAAGAGGATAGATGCACTCCCTCGCACTTGCAATACAGCGGGAGCATGCTGGCTTCTGTCCGTCACAGCGGTGGTGCTTGTAGCGACACGCCGCACAAGCAACAGAAGACCGATAAACGGGCTTCATCGATGGACTACTAGCTTCAGTAATATCAACCATGGCGTTCGAGTTTTCATGCTAGGGAATCGGTGATTTTCAGGGTGTAGAGATGGAAGAATGGCGCAATCGACGGGGAAAAACCGGGTCGGCATAAGGCATTACGACTTATTGCCTGAGGCAGAAAGAATTTCTCGTAGTTACTATGAGTTACAAGTGCTAATATTTCGCTCATTTTATTAAGATATGCACGAATAATAAACTAATTCAACATAATATTGCCTAATCAATCTGTCCATTTTTCTGCATTCCGAAGAACCCTAAAGGTCACTGCAATAGTTCTCATGCAAGCGTAGGACCAGCACTGTCCGGGTCCGCAGCAGCAAATGCTTCGACACGGTCTGCTTTTGGAGGATATATCACAACCTGGTTGATATTCTCCTTGATAGCCTTTGCCGCAGAGCCAGTCAATCGTACTTGACGGTCCCATCCCTCGGTGACCACCGCGCCCCAAGGGCCTAAATCCAAGCAGGTTCCATACGCGGGTTGTGCATATGGTTTTGGGGCAAGGGCAAGCAAGTCGGCTGCTGCATTGTGCCCAGCAAAGCGACCAAGACGCATGGCATGCTGGCAGGACATTAACGCATGATGGCCCTGATCGTCGGCAATAGCCATGGCTGCATCGCCCGCCACAAAGATGTCCCGAATAGAGGGAATGCGCAAGTCGGAATCGACGTGCAAACGGCCGCTCCGGTCTCTCTGTCCATGAACTTGTCGTGTCAGAGCGCTCGCTTCCATGCCCCCGGTCCAGATGACAGTCAGCGAATCTATGCGCTCGCCACGGCTGGTCACCACCCCGGTCTTGTCCACCGATACCACCGCCGCGCCCAGTTTATATTCCACTCCCAGACCCGCCAACGCTTCGAGGATGACTGGTCGCGGACCAGGCCCCAGTTCTGGTCCGATGACATCCGCTTGTTCGATGATCACAACTCGCGCGTCCTCTAATCGGAGAATGGAGCGGAGTCGCGACGGCATCTCTGCGGCGATCTCGATTCCAGTAAAACCACCGCCGACAATGACAACCGTGTTCCGCGCAGGATGGGGAGGTTCGAATGCGAGATGGTGCAGATGCTTGTCAAGGTTGGCAGCTTCGTTGCGCTGGTCGATACTGAATGCATACTCGTGAATGCCGGGAATGTTGGGGCGTTTCAGGTGGCTTCCGGCAGCCAGGACGAGCCGGTCGTAGTCACGGGTAGAGCGAATGCCCGCCAGGTCGACAATTGTCGCTCGTTTCTGTGCCGTATCAATCGTGTCGACCAATCCTGGAACAAATTGGATACCCGTCATGTGGAAAAGTTCCTCGAGCGAGACACACATCTTGTCGGCATCCGATTCATACAACCGTGGACGGATGACCAAAGTCGGCTCGAGAGATACGACAATCACTTTAATCCCACTCGCCTCGCCTCCCCCATTCTGCTCGATGAGTCGCATCGCAGACAGGGCGCCCCACATGCCGGCGAAGCCTGTTCCAACAACGAGTATCGTTTGCATTTCGATTCGTGTGATTTGATCTCGGACCTGTAGATATCACTGAAGCAGGACAAGCCAGTCTGTTGTAATATCATAAATGACGAGCCATCGGATCTTTTAAATATGATACTGCAAGCATCAATAACGTTGGCTTGATACATGTCTAGCCTCAACCGACACTGAAATCGTTCCGCAAGCCGACCAGCATAGGCTATAGTGCATCACACAATTCTCGAACTCAAAACTACACCATTGCAGACACTGGATGGATCCTATTCTTTCTTCCGATCGGCATTGTATCATACAGACACTTGGAGAGCATCTGGACAATGATGTGATCAAAATATACGCGGTTAAATCCGGCCATATTGCATTTCCGGTTCATACAAGGGGGAATGGTGGGCCTCGTGAGATCTGTCCAAGTCCGACACATAGCCTAACGAGGGACAATAGGCTATTCGGGTGGGTCCAGCTACACCTACACCAATGAAAATGTGCACGGAAATCCAACACGCGGGATTCGGAGATCGTGCATTTCGGGATTGAGATCCTTTGGCGTCAACGGTTGCAAAAACCCGGGAGCACAGGAGCATTGCAGTATGCCTGAACAGATATATAAGAGTAGCTTACTGTCTCAAATGCAATTACTGTTAAAACTATCTCGTTGGAACACAGTATAAGATCGAATTGGAACTTTGAAACAGGGATATATATACTTGATAATGGACGAGCCACAGTACGACCCGCGGTATGAATTGCCCATCTCCAGTTGATACAGGGAATTCTGTGATTAGACTAATGATTGAGTCTTTCTAGTCGCCCAATGCCTACCCTCAACGTCGCATCGCAATACCGTTTAGCAAACTGCCCCGGTAAGAGCATTATCGGGTTGCTTGTCAATTTCCCCCCGAATGGCTCGACTCCCCCACATCGACATGGCGGCGCATCCGTTTCTGCATATGTCATCAGCGGGACACTGTTGAACAAGATGAACGACGATCCGATGAAAATAATCAAAACGGGAGGTTCCTGGTACGAAGCTCCGGGATGTCATCATCGCATCAGCGATAACGCAAGCAAGACCGAACCGGCTACCTTGTTTGCGTCCATGATTCTCAATACGGAGGTGTATGAGCGGGATGGGATGGCGGCATTGATACAGATTGATGAGGAATACAGTGTGTAAAATTGAAAGGCGTTGTTCTATTCTAGCCCAGGCGTATTACCTGGTTCCCGAAGGTTGCTATGCTACCCCCCCAACTCACCCCGAATGTACGGATCAATATTTCTTGGAAGCTTTCATTGTTCTCTCTACAATCTCTACAGTGACGCACAAATCTCAACGTCAAAGTTATACGACCGGAAATTCCCCTCCTTTCTCCCCGTTTGCTGAACCCACATGGAGATGTACCTGGAGTCTCCGCAAAGCCCCACGAACGCCGCCCAAACAATGCCCTTGGGCGGACTGGAGTGAATGAAGCAGCAGAGAATAAAACGAATTTCATAGTTTACATCCTTGGCATCTCTAACCAGCAACTGCAATCAGGACTCACCATGGCGCTTCCACAAATTCACCACGACTCCCTCCAGACTACCTTCACCGGTACCTCTCAGACCGACAATGGCATCACGGTCAATTCATTCAGAGGTATCCCGTATGCCACTATTCCGGCTCGCTTCGAACGTTCGCAGCCGATACAGAAGTTCGACGAACCTGCGGTCGATGCGACGCAATACGGGTACGATCGTCTTTGTCAATTCGAAATTGGATGCGGAACTGACCATATGTTCATAGACCACGATGTCCACAAATGAAGATAGATGTGCGCCATTTGCTACGCATCCCAGAAAACATCGAAATTCCAGAAGAGGATGAGGATGAGTTCAAATGTTTGAATTTGGAAATCACCTGTCCCCCGCTGGATCAGACAAAGGGGCCTCTTCCGATCTTGATCTGGATTCACGGTATGGTTGTCGATATTGTACGCTGGACGGTATCGGAATATGCTGACGGATGCAGGTGGCTCGCAGGTTGTCACGTTTTGCTCTGCTGCATCTGGAATCTGTGGTACGTTTTATCGCGGATCGCATGTCAGACCTTACCCTAATATTACTATAGACCCAACGAAGCTCGTTGCAAACTCGATCAAATACCAGAAACCAGTGGTTTTTGTTTCTATAAACTACCGACTCAACATCTTTGCTTTTGGCGATGGCAAAGAGAAGAACCTTGCGCTCAAGGACCAACGACTCGGAATTGAATGGGTGCGCAAGAACATTGCTTCTTTTGGTGGTGATCCGGTATGCCCTACGGTTTTCCTGGAGTCAAGCGTGGTGTCGATTAACGATTCAATTCTAGAACAATATCACCTTAGCCGGCGAGAGCGCCGGTGGTGTGTACGCTCACGCTCATTTGGTTACTGGACCGCCAGTCAAACGGGCCATCCTGGCCTCCGGATCTCTCTACCTCTCGCGCCCAATGCCAGCAACACGAGGCGAGTGGATGGTCAATACTCTAGAAGCCAAAGTGAAGGAACTGGGGCAGTCGTCTCTTCGCAAAGCAACTGTACCCATTCTCATACAGGCCCTGAGAGAATGCAACGTCAACTCGATGTTCCTCCAGGAGGACTCGGAATTAAAAGACTGGGAATCGAGACCGGAACATGTCGAAGAAATCATGATTGGAGATACGGAGTATGAGGTATGCACATTTTCTCATCACCCTACAAGCTCTCTGTCTCACAATTTACCAACGTAGTCTGTGATCTGGCGCAACGGCATTGAGACCCACGACACATCTACAATTAATGCAGCCTTTGAACAGAATTCGGAATGGGGTCCTCAACTGCGTAAAATGTACCAGGTCGTTCCTACTCGTCCAACGGCCAGCAAGCTCGGTGCCCTGGACATCATCAACGATGCTCTCTACACCATGCCCGTCGAAGTCATCTCCGACAAACTTCGAGCAAATCAAAAGACTGTTTACAAATATGTGGTCGACCAACATAACCCCTGGCAGTTGTCCAGCCGCTCTCATCACGCCGTTGACTTGCTCTTCCTGTTCGGGACGATGGATCTGTCGCACAACCCGGGTGCGGAGGCTGTCGGTCAAGAGATGAGATGGCGGTGGGCGTCTTTTGTCAATGGTGATGCCCCGTGGTCGGAGCAGCAGAGATATGCCTATGGTCCGTTCGGAGAATGTGGCGAGATTGACGAGAGACAGTTTGCTGGTCGACGGAGGACAGGACATATCAAGGCATTAAGGGAGGCTGGAAAGGAGGCGTTTTTGCCCATTGTGTTTGCATTGGCAGCCGGGAAAATCAGTTTGTTGAACTAGATGTCGGAAGTAATAGAATCGTGATACATCTGCAGCCGCCGGTAGTTGAGCTCCCAGCTTTTACCGTTCACCACCATTACTCCATTATTGCTCTCCACGATCCTACGACCATCCACTTTTACTCAGACATTACTCATGTGGGGTTAGAATAACACGTTCCTGCGGTAAGAGCGAGGATGATTCTCCTGGAAGCTTGTGACGCTCATTCCCCACCCGCTTTTGTAGGGTTCGGCAATGGGAGACCCTCCGAAATGCCGAACATACAACTGTATCGCTCACGGAACGCTACACTGTCATGAACTTTGTACCACTCTCCAAAAAATGGGGCAGACGTATTGATTGATAATTGTGTTTTTGTTATATCCAGGAGATGTTGGGACCCCACAAGACCACGGACTATATAGACTTGGTCCCTGGACGAATGTCCTTGGACCCATCTCCATTCATTATCGACATAATACAATCGCCATCATGTCTTCAACAACACTGTCAGACCCCAAGGAATACCAGAACATCTTCCACTGGGCCGAAACACAGAAGGATGGGACTATTCCCTCCTTCGCCACGAGACGAAACGACCCTTACCAGGTACATATTCCTCGTCATTCAAGTGATTTACAGATGCTAATCAAATTACAGTACCAAGCGGGCTTTGGTAACTCGTATGTCTTCTTCATTCCGACATCCAGCATTTCAACAGGCTGATCTAGATGTCAAGATTCGCCTCTGAGGCAATCCCCGGTACCCTTCCACAGGGCCAGAATAACCCTCGCAAAGTCCGTTTTGGATTGTATGCAGAGCAGATCACTGCAACGGCTTTCGTTGCTCCGAGGCACTCCAACAAGAAAGCGTGGCTATACCGGGCTCGTCCGGCCGTTGCTCATCAAGGATTTGTACGTGGGATCGCGGTTGGAAAAGAACCCGGCTAACTAGCCCCTAGAAAACCCTCCCCGACAACCCCGACACAGAATCCAATTTCCTCCCGTTGAACCCCCGCGTGCACGTCTCTCCCACCCAGCTTGCCTGGCACCCCTTTGACATCGCAGACGGAAAAGATGGAAAGGTCGACTTCATTTCCGGTCTCAAAACAGTCGCCGGCTCGGGCGACCCAACGCTCCTCGAAGGCCTCGCGACCCACGTTTATACCGCAAACACCAGCATGACGCAGAAAGCCTTTGTCAACTCGGACGGCGAGTTTCTCATCGTTCCCCAGGAGGGAACCTTGGACATCCAGACCGAATTTGGACCGCTTTTCGTTCAGCCCGGTGAGATCGTCATCATCCAGCGCGGTCTGCGGTTCCGCGTCAGTCTAGTTGACAATAAACCGGTTCGCGGATATATCCTTGAAATCTGGGGGAGTCGGTTCGAGCTCCCAGATCTGGGTCCGCTGGGTGCCAATGGTCTGGCTAATGCCCGGGACTTCTTGTCTCCGGTTGCTGCGTATGACAAGCAGCGCGAACAGCCATGGGAGATTATCTATAAGATGGGAGGGAAGTTCTTCAGCAGCACACAGAATCACAGCCCGTTTGACGTTGTAGCGTGGCATGGCAATCACGTATGCTTACTCCCCCAAGGTCATAACATGTCAAGCTGACAGTTTACATAGGTCCCCTACAAATACGACCTGACCAAGTTTGTCAATGTCGGGTCGATCTCGGTCGACCACATCGATCCCTCTATCTTCTGTGTGTTGACGGCCAAATCTCGTGATCCTTACACGCCATTGGCCGACTTGCTCATTTTCTCCCCGAGATGGGACGTTGCATCGCGTAAGTCCACCATGCTCCTCAGACGGAATTCATACTCACGAGGATAGACACCTACCGCCCACCATACTACCACCGCAATGCCGCGTCTGAACTCATGGGCCTCATCTACGGCGGATACGGCGGCCGCTCTGACGCCTTTAAGCCCGGCAGTGTCTCTTTTGAATGTGGCAGTATGTTCCCTCCCTTGCGACAAACGCTTCCCATACTAAACGGAATCTGCAGTGGTCCCTCACGGCGTCGCCTACGAAGAATTCAAATCAGCAAGCGACCAAGTCCCGCCCGAAACGAGAATCTCCGAGGGTTCGATTGCGTTCATGTTCGAGTCGAGCCGTCCGTTCACCATCACGGACTACGCGTTCAATAGCCCCAAGTTGCACGAGCATGAGCCGAAGATGTGGGACAATCTTGTTGACAACTTTGCGCAGCATGAGAAGGAGGTCGAGGAGATTTTGGCCAAGGGTTCTGGTTAATGAGAGTGGCTAGTGTAGTATTATGTACAAAGTCTTCATTCGCGTTTATAACTGAGGGAACGGTCGACACATTCCATGATCAGTATTCTTGACTTAAATCAACGTCATCCATCCACCCGGTAAGGCTGGCCTCTATCCGACGGGGGGCATTCGACTGACGGAGAGTCGAATCGAGTCTTGGCACTTTACTATGGGAGAAAATTG